CTTCAAGAGATTTATCAGAATGCATCATTTCCTCAAATTTGCTATTGTCAATAATTGCTTTTTCTAGTTTAAAGATTCTTAACTTTGGAACCTATTGGGCTTGGCTACAACACTTCAGGCGTGCTTTAGTTTTATTAACAACTAATATTGTCTTTTTGGGACATCAATTTTAATTGGGGTATTTACAATTGGTATATAGCCAATATCATCTATTCATATCCATCTTCGATCTGGATGGTGTCGTTCTAAATATTAAATAATTTTGTAGTCGCCCCTATTAAATAAAACAATGATACTTAAGCTAATATATGTACCAAACTGACCATCAATGTATCTTATTATTATTTATGTACAAGGATTACATAAAATAATGAAATAATTACTATCTCCCCCTAATCCTTGCATATGGGGTTATGGAATTAATCCAACAACCTTTAAAATCCCTTGCACCATTTAAGTCATAAATTCTTTTGGCAATAACATGTATCAAGAAAAGTAAAATTATTCTTATATAAAACTCTTACTTGTTCCTCTAGCCCAATTATATTAATCTTTGTATCACAAATTCTTAAAACTATGAACATAAATAATACATTACTCAAGTAAGTTTACTGACAATGTCATGTTTAATATCTTGAACTCATAACACTTATTTTTGCTCATATAAATATTCTTATGAACTCTTCCATATATAATATATAATTAAGGAAATATCATGTAAGCATATATGTTATTCTTTCAACTACACAAATTCTTATTCATTCAATTCTCACCATGAGTTCTATGTCTAGATACAATACTATTCAAAACTTTTGTATATTCTCTCATGACATTGTATGAGTAGTATTAGCAATCTCATCAATCATAAGGTTGATTAAAACAATGTTATATATCATCAAAGGACCAAATAATACTCATGAATTTAAATAAATACTCATATGCTCAATGAAATTATGGCGCCATTCAAGTGTAAGCAATATCGCTCATAAAAGTACAAATAATTTTACAATCATCATTAAAGGCTCCAATGCATTACCATAACAAAAAAATCGACTATAAGTTTAATCTACACTCATCACAATTACTTATTCCAATCAAAGTTAGGCTCCTCATGAAGCTAGATATATATAACCCAATATGTATACTACATACATAACAAATTAAATCAAAACTAGTTTGACTTTCCTTAGCAACGCACTTAGCCACTTAATAATTTAACATACCAAACCAATGCCATCTAAAATACAGAACATAAGATATAAACATATATACCATGAGAAATAAATATTATATATACATTATCATAATTAATTGATAATCTTAGATTATTAATAGTAAACTTAACACATACACATAACAAAATAATGCGATAAAGCTAATCATGTGTGATAGTCCTAAAATTAGCAGGCGAAATCATGAAATTATAATGGCATAACTCGTTCACTATACCAAATAAAGAGTAAACACTAAAAGCAACAAAACATATCCAATATAAAACTAGGATTATTCTCAAAGTCAATCAAAACCAAGGAAACAATTTATCCAACTAGATGCAGTGAGTTAAGGAAATAATTCCCAAGCAAATAATGCTTGGTTATGCAATAAATAGTGTATGTATAAACAAAACTTTTAAGCAAATTTAGGGGTTTTTGGTTCTTGAATATTCAAGAAAATAGGGGTTTCAGGTTTACAAACTATGTAAAAGTAGTCATGAATTTACCAATACTCTTAACAATCTATGCGTACAATTAGAATATTCAAGAAAATAGGGGTCTTTGGGGCTACCCTAATACAGTACGTTAATAATTCAAATGAAATCGGCAAAGTTATTGTAAAGATTATCATTTAAGGAAAAGCGGGAAGATGAGCAAATCATCATGTCGGCATAATATTAGGTGAATAAAATATACAAGCCCCCAAAACAAAAATTGACTAAACCCACTATAATGAGCATTAAACATAAAAACAAAAATTTCTAGGCTTGGATATCCAATGAATCCCATAACAAACAATCTACTTATCTAAATAAGATTAATACAAAAGTTATTTAATTCTTCCAATACAATAGTTAATAAAATGATTAATGTGGGAAAATTAAGATCAAAAGAGAAAGACTCTTGGTATAAGGACAAATAGTTTTTGACAAATTTAATAATTTGCGGAAAATTCAAACATCATTGCCGGATCACACACATATTTTAATCCTGGATTTTAATAATTACAAGTGTAAACTTACCTCTTGATGCGTGCTTGAATACTTATTCAATCAAGAACGATGTTAGATTTCAATGGTAATTCCTCCGTAGACTTATCTTTTGAGGTATGGTTTCAATCAATCTTAAATAGCTTTTGCATCATATTTTAACAGAAAATTCATACAAATTGATGGGATATGGTCTTGCTCAGTCGGTTAGGATTGGTGCTGATAACGTGTTATAAAATAGAGGAAAAGAAAGAATAAAAGATGAAGATGTGATGAGAATATTGATTGTATATTCTATTTTCTATACAACTTATATATACATTAGAATTGTAACTTCCTAGTGACATAAGAAGTCACCATTATCAGAAGAGTTACAAAGAGATGTAATAAGCCTAAGGGAGTTACAAGGAAGGTTACAAAGAGAAGTAATAATGCTAATAGGTTACAAAGGTATAATGGACATACATTAATATATATCTCACAACAAAATTGAGATATTTATTGGCTATATTAGACGTAGGTAGTAAAAACTTGTATTAAACATTCAAATGATTCAAGCCGTGCTAACAAACTATAGTAACCCTAATAATACTCGTGCTACATCCGGTCTCTAAAACCCCACACAACATGTGGTTGCATGCACATACACCTAGCTTAATATTTTGTCACAATCATACCATTTCTTACTAAGTCATATAGAGCCACATGGTCGGCATGCTCCCCATAAGCATTAGTGAGAATGCACTCGTAACCAATAAAACCAACAAAAACTTCGTCTCAAAATGATTTGACTTTTGCTCGCTAACATATCATAAAGAATCATCAAAGGTAAAAAAAATCAACTAAAGAAAGTAAACGTACAAAAGTGATAAAATAAAATGAAAGTGAAAGAAAACGAGTGAAACATAGTGAGCAAGACAACAAGTGCCGTGAAAAGAAACATTTTAGTACAGTATTGTTATAGTGTGCACCTCTAAAATCCAGAAAATATAGATACTATTATATGCTATCTACTTTTCAGTATTATTACTACATGAGGCAAAAAAAGAATAAAAGAGCAACACTTTATTATATTAACCTTCAGTTTTTTACAAGTGAAGCTCTCAATTTTACCTAGCTTCCTCTATTTTTCTTACAAGAATTAGAGTAGATAGATAGATAGATATAAATGGTTACTACAAACTATAAATCATTCAGGCTACAAATGGCTGCTCTGATTTTGGCATGCGTCATTTCTTTCTCTTCTCTTCCTTCCATTTCAGGTAACAACCCAAATCGATCTCATGCAATTATATGCTCCGTATTACTTCCTTCGTTCTTTTTTAGTTGACATTTTTTTTCCCTTTTTTTGACTCATAACTTCAATATTGTTGTCATTGAGTAGTAAGGTTTATTTTTTTTTCTTTTTTATTAATGCTTTAGTAATTTTTATTAACAACATTTGTTACCTTAATAATAACCTCTTAATGGCTATTCTTTTATGAATTTGTTTTTTAACCAAGGAAGCATTTACTTCATTACTTGTAAAATTTAAATTTCCTAATTTTCATAATAGATTCTTTATAAACATCTTCGATAGTAAATTATATTGATTTCTAAGCTAGTACACTTCCGAAGTTCCTATAGCTAAATCATACAAAATTATTTTCTACCAATATTTAAAAAAAAAAAAAAAAAAAAAAAAACAAGAATGATAAAAGGTGTAAGTTTTGGTTTAATATGATCAAGATTGTTATGCTTAATTGCTTAAATATCATTGCTACTTTACATTGGATTATATATATTGTTGTACAATAATTTTTACTCACAACTTTATAATATAAACAATTTCACATAATCACATGGCTTATTATATTAGTAGACGTAAATTAATTTAATTTAATTAATTATTTACATTTTTTTGGATTAATAGGAATATCAGTGAGCAAAAAAATGGTGCTGGGATCACGACCACCAAGGTGTACAAATAGGTGCATGAATTGCAGGCCTTGCATGGCTGTTCTTGTAATTCCTCCACGCCGATTATCGTCCCAACAAGATGAAAACTACTATCTTGTGTCTTGGAAATGTAGGTGTAAGAATAAGCTTTTTCAGCCGTGATTAGTTGATATATTCATTCGTTGATGTTGTAATTTAAACTAGTATCGTGACAAATGTATCCAGATAGAGATTATATGTATCGACTTAGGAATTAATCTATAGAGATTTTGCACATAGGTGGACAATAGAAGGTTGATTGTTGATGATACCATATTTATTTATGTGTTCTACATGTATATCAAATTATGATGTCCATTTTCTGGGTCTCAAGTCATTAATGCACTGTTTTGGTATGTATGTCCTTTATTTTGCTTCTGGAATTGGCGAAAAAAACAAAGGAAACTTAACGAGTCAAAAGCTTTGGAATGACATTCATGTTATAACTGAATTTGTCATGCATTCATGTTATTATTGAAGTAGAGTTGTCTGTGTCAATGTAAAGTTCAATAAAGATGAGTTAGTACTCTTTTGTCTTTAAAAATTCTCACTATTTTGACGTTAACTATCTCAGAAAAAGAGTTGAAACAAAACGTTTTAGAGACAAAGGGAGTACCAGATTATCTCTTGATTAACTAATATACTCTGTGCACAAACAACTGATGCTCTCAAACCTCGATGATGGTCACAAACTAATATGCTCCGCGCTATATTGAGCGTTACTCGCATTTAAACCATCAGAGGCTACATCCTAAAATACTTCGGTGAGCAAATTTACGAACAATGTTGCAAAAGATACTAACACAAGTAACAACGATAATAAGGATAATACGAAGTAATTTATAAAAACTTTAAAAGCAAATGTCTGCTCAAATTTTCCGCCGTGGATAATTCTACAAAACAATAGCATTACATCAACCTGAATGCCTCATGACACACAATTTGATGTTTTTGCTACAAATAAGAATGGGTTCACGTTCTAGTTTTATTAAGCAACAATTGAAGACAACTAAATACAGTTCTTAGACGAAAGTTGCCTCCAAGATCCAGTAATGCGCCATAGACGTAGATACTCAGTAAAAATGCATCAGTACATAACCCAGCGCAATCCAGAACAGGATAATGATACAAAAGAGAGAGTGAACAATTTTTACAAGGTTGATCTAGACATACAGAATGTATAAACATAGATACGTAGCACAAACTCACGATCTTTGACAGATTTCATTTGGCTCGTTGATGACAACTACCTTTAAGGCTTCGAGTAACTTCTTCGATGAAATTTATTTTCAACGCTTTGGGAACCATCTTTTATTATTCCTATAAAGTAATATACATAAATTAGATAAGGTAAACTCTGTTATTCACTGCTTGCACATATAATATACTCCATCCTATGGCTGTACACTAGTACCAGATCAGAAAGCTATGGTTCTAAGTAGACTGGAATGTACCATACCATCATTTGGTTTCCATATGATGTGATCCAGTTTAGCACAAAAGAACTTGTAGAACTGCAGACCAAGAACATAAAAGGAGAGCTTAGAAATTTGCAAGGTCATGTAGTAAATGAGATTATTGAAAAAACTCGAACGCCCATTAAAATCAACAGCCATATTTCCTTCATTAGCTACATAACTATAAAGTCAAAAAAGAAGCATATACTTTGGTGCCAATGTATGCAGCATTGCAGTCTTACCCACAGCTATCATAAAGTAGAAAAGAGCTTATAAGTATTAATAGGAGCTAACCTTGTGGTATTCAAGGGTGTCACCAGCGGCTCCCCGAACATCAACCATGAAAAGTGAGGGAGCAACTTCATAGACCTGAAATAAGGACAAAGGGATATTTAAAATACTATTAGGATTTCAAGGGGCGTAGCTCAAGTGCTCAACATTATTTTATTTTAAAAAAAAAAGAAAAAGAAAAGAAAGTGAACTACCTCTACCACCACAGCAAACTGTCCTACCTTATTAGCAGATATTCCTTCAAGTCTTGTCTACAGAAATCAATGAAAGGAAAAGGTTAGGGCTCAAATAGTTCAAGATATAATCTAACAGTTGTCTAAACCACATCTAGATCACAAAGGGAAACAAAGACAAAGAACCATTAAACTAATTGAACTTAAAAATTCGATATAAATAAGGTAGAATTTAAATAGCACGAGATAAAAATGCCCAGTTCGCTGAAGGAAATATCCCCCGGGACTTAGATCGAGTTGATTAATTTGTTTAAAAGGAGAAGCACTCCAATCCTTACCAGACAGCAGAAGCAACACTCCAATTTGGCATAGAATGTTTGCAAGTGGCATATATATCAAGCTGTTACCAAGCTTACATTAAACGACAAGAAAAACTATACCAGAAAGATGAAAAGGAGAATACATTAAGGACATGAAGTGCTCAAAATATGAGAACCTAAAAAAAGCTAAGATCAAACTTCAATGTGAAACCCTTTCATAAGACGCTCCAGATAAATAGAGTTCAATTTTAAATTATTGCACAACCTTTTCTGGGAAAATCTTTGGATATTGATTTTGTATCTTTCCTTGTATGACAGAATAATTGAAGACTCATGTTTCAAAGGTTCTGAAGATGGCAATCAGCCTCCTTATTGCTGAAAAATGCCAAATCAAGCTGTTGAGAATGCTACTCAGCCATAGGAACATGCAAGAATTCATCTCCCTGCAGGCCCTTTATTATAATGTGCAGGATTCTCAGTCCAAGGGTGCCTTTTGAAGGTCCTTGAATCTGCCATGAAATGGACACATCCTAATTTTCTCAGACGATTTTATAATCTTAAGGGGAAACTCCAGCTCCCCCTGCTTTCACTCATCCTTAATTCATCCAACAATAGGTCCCCGTCTTCAATATTCAGAAATATATAATCCCTAACTTGCACAGCTTAGATCCTCATCAAGGTTACCACCACTTATTTGAGCATTATTCACCTAGTCAGCAGCAGAAATGCCTCAGAGACTCCAACAACAGAAGTTGGGTATCCTTAGTAGAATGTCACCTCGATATCCTAACCACAACAAGCCACATCCTCACAAGGGCGAGAGCATATGAGGAATTAGTATCCCCAGAATCAGAAATTCTGTTGTCAGAGAAGCAACTCTGTTTTAAAACTAGTTAATCTGATGGAAAAGAGCTGAGAGGCCTGACCCTTACCAAACTTTACCAAAAAAAAAATGAAATGAAGACTAAGAAACTAAAAGTTGTGGATTAATTGACAATTGTCTGAAAAAAGGCTTTATAAATATTTCATTTTTCAAATTAAAAAAATAATAATAAACTTTCCAGCTACTATACATATCAGAAAGGATGACCAAATTTTCAAATGAATAAACATGTTTCAATTACAAAGTTCTAGGATATTCTCTATCTATCTAGAATATAAGTCACCAATGACACTATCATTAGGCTTATTAAATCTCAACAAATGACTTCAATACCATATTCAAGAACAATGGTATACAAGGTAAAGCGAAAGGACAAAAAACTGAGCATACAAGCTGCATAGCATGATCCCAGTTTAAATGGAGAACACAATAAGATTAACGCAGAAAATTAAGATGCACACCTTGTAGTTGCGTGTATGGACCTTGAGACCCATTGATTCAGCAACAGTTTCAATTGTCGAAATGATTGTCTTTGGAGATTCTTTTGAAACAAAGCGAGTTTGCCTCTTCACATAATCCTTTAAAAAAAATAAGAGAAAAATGTCCATGAAGTAAGCAAACTAAGGACCAACTTTTAAGCGGGCACTAAGCAGTTACCTATTACCATGACATGGAATTAACTCTAGCAATGTATAGTAACACAATGTGCTAAAAGCCAGCAATCAAGATAATAGATAACAATAAATAAAAAACGAATGTGCATCACTGCTACCAACTGCATCTTTCTTTTTATTAATAACAGTAAATATAAATGTAGTTAAGTTTGAGATTGCTATACCTGGCGTCTGTCAAATAAGGCTGACAGATTCAGACCTTGAGACAAGGTAATCATCTCAAATGCATTCATTATCATGGGGCCTCTCTCCAGGTGCCTAGTTTGCTCAGTTACAAAATGGTCCTGCAGAATAATGCCCAAGAAAACTTATAGTAAGTTACAGAATCAGACTAACCACAAAGGCAAAATAAACTGCAACGTCATAACTACAGCAGAAAAGCAGTAACAAGCATTGATCAGTTTATAATGGCTTAAAGCATAAGGGGCAGACATGAGGCATACGCTTCATCAAAGTGATAAATAAAGCATTTTGTCGAGGAAGACTACAGATGTATGCACTGTTATACTTCCTCTGTACACTTTGATCTTTACCATTCACATACTCTACTTTCTCTATTTTTAGTGATTTATACATTAGGAAAAATTGTCATGTGAGATCCTGTTAGATTCTAAAAGTATGTATTCAAAATACAGAGTTTTAATATTTTTTACCTATCGATAATTAAAGATATTAATGGTTGAAAATATGCACTAGAAAACGTGAAAAGAGAAGTGTTTCATCCAAAATACAGAAGTCTTAGGAAATTAAATGGAAACAAGGAGATCAAGGGTAAGACTATGACCTCAATGTCATTAAAAGCAGCACAAATATCATCCAAGTTAACTTCTTCTTCCACACCTTGTCGAGCAGGAATGTAATTCATTGGAAACCATGGGTCATTTCTAATTTCTTCTATTGAAATACGCTGTATCATCAAAGAAACAGAATAAGATGAAGTAGCAAGGCAAGTTTATTGGCCCAACATATTTCGGGCTTCAAAATCTGACATCAGCTCACTCATACTATTTATTCATTTTTTAATTCATAATTTAACCTTATCATAGTTAATATAATTAAAATTTATTCGAAAAAATATTGCTATTTACTCATAGAACATTAAGGACTTGAAAATTATTATTAAATATATTATTTTATACTTCGTGTATTAATATATACAATGTAGTGAATTTGATTTGTATTCTATTTAATGAAATATTAACAAATTAGATGTAGGAATTAAAGCTTTCAATAAAAAATAATTATAATAATAATCTCTCTTCTAAAAGTAAAAATGTAATACAATAAAATATAAAATAATAAACAATTTTCTTTTAACTACTATTTTCTCCTTGAATTAGCTGGGCTCAACAATGGATGACATGGTCAGCAATTAAGCATGGGGGATGGGGCACTTGTATGCTGAGAACAATTAAAATTTAAAATTCGTTTTAATTTTTATTTTATAAATTCTGATTTGAGTGTATTTGATTATGAACACAATAGTGGTCCAGGCAGTGTAACAAGATAAAAGAGAGATATCTAATTTTGATCACTAGATGGTGCTATACACTTACAGTGTTAGGATTAGGGTCAAGCATTTTTTCAATCAATGATTTTGCACCTGGTGAGAACCAGAATGGGCAAGAAAATGTGGCAGAATTTATCTACAAGTACACCAGGGAAATAATAAGATATATATGACTAATTTATTAAAGGAAAAATTTATCAATGCAAACAAAAATCGTTCATAGTAACAGCATAGTCCAATAAATTTGAATTATAAATGTTCTAATCAATGTCATAAGAGAAAGATATGCATAACACAAGTCATACAGATATACAATAGGACCTCTCAATTTTCAGAGTCAATTATAGAGGCAGTGTACACAGAACTAATATGAGCATTTAGTCACCAAATATATGGAAGTCCAAGAGTGGTCAAGGATCTCATTCTCCTCCGCGTCAGGTCCAGCTAATTCAATCTGCTGCTTCACTAAAACTGATCAAATCTCACTATTCTATATTAAAAGCCAAACCGATACAGCTTGCCTGGTGAAGAGAGCGTAAATCTTCGAAAAAGGCTAATATCATGTTGTAAGAATTGTAACTGACATCAAATTGAAGGAACAAGGGAAGTTTCAGGCACTTAAAAGCCTACAACAGCCTAATAGGATATTTTTTTAATGATGCACTAACTGGCACAGATTGTTCTGGACTATTGCAGCTGTTACATATTGATGGTATATTGGTATCAGTGAAGGCAATCAAAAGGTCAAGAAAAAAAGTAAATTAAACAAGACAGAGACACAAGAATCCAAGTTATTTCCTTCTAATCAATGAACAACGATACAAATGATCAATCAATGTCCACAAAGATTATCTCTCAAGAGGCTTCTCAAAATGTCAAGCATAAACCCTCTGAAACCCCCTAAACAGCTATTTTTATGAAGAACAAAAGGAGCAGATTTCCTAAGATGCTTGCACTAATACCCAGACCCCTGGATGACCGGGGAAAGTCCAGAAATGAAGCAGGGAGTCTAACTGCATAAAGCCATTAAGCCCCTGGACAAGCTGTAGAGCTCCACAAATCCGGGGAGCATGCCACAAACCATGCAGTAGCTCCAGTCAACAAACCCTCGTACAGACCCCTTCAAACCCCCCCGTTTGGACCATCGTTCCAGCCAAAACTCAACCTTTTGCCTCCCTTTGTCCTAAAACACATCATATACATCAATGTTGGCAACAATTATAACAGCAGCCTTGTATATAACCCACGTTATTCTGATCTAGAACAATAACAGAAACCTTCAGTTTAACATTAATAGTGAAAGTCAACCAGAATAGAAGACAAAAACAGGGGAATGCTTCACTATAGTCTTCATCAATACCGTCACAAAAGGAATTTGGATCAGCAAAACAGTAAAAAAACTTCATCTTCTGGAAGCATAAACTCAAGCCAAAAGCAGCTTCTAAAAAGACTAAGTCAAACATACCATAATTCTGCAGGTTGGATAAAGATACTGAGTCGAGCATAGCAACATAAGACCTTATATAGGATTACTTTAATAAAACATACAAACAAATAATAAAATAAATATATAAAAACCTTAATACAAGCACAGGTACCGTGACAGACAAAATATTCCAGGGATAAGAAATAACACTGTTAAAAGCATCAACTCCATAATGTTTAAAGTGAAGTTCTAGATTAGCAAACCAATACACACTGATCACCTTTTTGTACAAGGAGGGAAGGTCCGTTTCTTCGAAAGGCAAATACCCAGCTAGAAGGACATAAAGGACAACTCCACAAGACCAAATATCTGCAGCAGCACCATCATATCCTTGGCCGTTCAGAACCTATGATTTATGTAGAAAATGACCACAATAACAGACAAATGAATCATCAAATTGTTTATCAAATTGTCTAGCAAGCATAAACTGGAAAGCTAGCCTTTCACAGGAGAATATTTCAAAATCTTCATTTTAGCGGTTCAAAGAGATTAACAAAAAGGTAGCAATAGTAATAGTAGCATCAGGATTCATGCAATTACTTTATATTTAGCCATGCTTAAATCAATCCTCCATACATAACTGTCATCTTAGTAATTACAACACACATAATTAGTATATTTAGGCTGTTAAAGGTAAAATATGTATGCCAGAACTAACACAAATAATCAGTATATGTAGGCTGTTAAGGTAAATTCTAGATTCAATACTCAATATCAGTTTAAACAAATTTAACAAATATATTTAATAATTCCATAATTCCACTCCATTACCAAATTTATTTCCTCAATCGACATTTAGCCCTAATAATATTGTTCAGAGTTAATGCAAATGCAAACAAATCAATTGTAATATCTCTAGGTGACAATTATCACCATTACTGCTTGATTTTTGTTCACAACTTATACGATAAATTGGAAACTGTCAAGCAAGTAGGCCTTGATGAACTTCCTGTGCAGAATGTCCACTGCATTTTGAAGTGATTTTAAACAGTGAAGTCATTATTTGGTTGTTTAACGTTTACAGCAGGGGTGGGGAGTTCCAATATGACTGCATTTCATTTTAAGTTTGAAAAATGCTGAATGGATCCTTGTTTGTGCCAAGAAGTTCAAGGAGGACGGTCATTCATCATTCAAAAGAGGAAGGTATGACCAGTCAATTTTTTGGGTTTCTCTGAATAGAATCAAAATAGAGGAAGGTATCACACATCAATAAAAAATTCTGCCAAATCTAGCTGCTTGTTCTCAACATTGGGAGGGAACCAATGCACTTCATCACTAGGATAGTGGGACACCATTTTGATTTACCTAAAGCCCAAAAGTATTCAGTTGAAATGAATCACAACTGTACAAGATGCTTCATGGCCAAGAAGAGATATCCTACTTCTATTTTATATTTAGTTTTGGACAAGGATAATATAAACAGAATGGAACAACTGACTCCCCCTATGTGTGACACAAAAGATATACATAATTCACGAAGTTGGGATAACTCTTTTAGACATCATTGGTCATTAAAACTGAATTTCAATAACGTACAAGTATTAAACATGGTGCCAAAAGAGAGAATTGTATGTGCAGGAGAAGACACAATGATTACAATGGTAACTGATACATTACCTCAGGTGCAACATAATTAGGAGTGCCACATGTGGTGTGAAGAAGATTAACTCCCTGAGGTATAATACAATTATTAGTAAAAGCTTCAAGGCAGATAAAAATACTTCAAGGCAGATAAACTTGATAATGCTTACTTTTTGTGGTAAGGCACTGAGCCCAAAATCAGAAACCTTTAAATCTTCACGTGCATCAAGGAGAAGGTTTTCTGGCTATACATTGCAGGGTTTGGATCAAAAAAAAAAATGATCAAAAATATGCAGTCATAAAATACTTTTAAGAATATGAACAGTAAAAGATATCACCATAGATCTTGGGAAAACAGCAGAAAAAGTTCTTCAAAGATATATATTTATCAAAGTGAAGCAATAACATGCATATACCTTCAAATCTCGGTGGTAAACACCCTTCTTATGACAATGAGAGATTGCATCGACAAGCTGTTGAAAGTATTTCCTAGATTCCATTTCAGACAGCTTGCCTTTGTGAACCTATAAGCTTAATACAAGGGCAACAATAAATAACAACAAACTAATTAGTCAGAATTGATACACAATGATGAAGCTACTGGGAGGTGAACAACATAATTAGGTTGGAATTTCTCCAGAATTCTTCACCAAAAAGTCATCCACAGAATTTTAATGGGTTAATCTTTCAAGGTTTTAGCGATGGCAAAGTCTTACAATTTTATCAAATAGCTCCCCACCAGGCACAAACTCCAAAATTATGTATATTTTTGTCTTGCTAGCTAAAACCTTCAAATGTGGAAAGAAAATCAATGAGAGCATGAACAAGAGAATCCCTTAAAAAGTCCTAACCATATAAAATTTTAGCTAAAGGAGCACATACCTCATGTAATCTGACAATGAAAGGATGTCGAACAATCTTCATTATGGATATCTCACGTCTAATCTGCAAAATAATAAAAGATATTTGAAATACAGAATATTGAGACACCAACTACGTGGCTGATCCTAAAGTTCAAAGCCCAATTATCTTCAACATAAACTTCTAAGACAGGAGATGTGCAACTCCACTCAGCAACTAGATAGCTGTTTAACTGATGGGAAAAATTAAAAACAAAAGAAAAAGGAGACATCATATACTTGATGTCCACAACTCCACAAGCCATAACCAGAACAGTACTGAAAGAATTCGGCCAGCCAATGAAACTTTAAAGTAAAATCAATGATGCTCCTCCCACTCACATAGCTAACAAGCAAGAGCTTACTTCATATTGCGAAATCTTCTCTCAGGTTGCTCCCCAAAGTATTCTAGACAATCTTTAAAAGTTTTTGGTAACCTTGACAATTTTATTCGCATTCTTTGCCAACATTGTATAAACCTTAAATAGTTTACAAGCTGAAAAAAGAGTATGATTCTGATAGCATAGTTCATTTTTCCCAGCTAACATATAGCCTCAAGAACCAAGAGCACTAGACACTAACTATCCATTTGGTAAGCAGTAATAAACGACATCACTAGATAATAGATTCGCATGTCAAAGGAATATCGCCTTAATATCCATGGTAATGAAACTTTACCCTCGATATACATTATCCTATTTAAATCATCTTTCACATTCATCACCACTTGAAGATGTGGCATTAAGTAAGAATGGAAAGTTATGGAGAAATACATAAACTTGCACATGTAACTGCATTGCCATAAACATTGGAAATTTTTTCTCCCGTATACTCACTAAAATTCCTGTCTTTATTACCGTCCACCAAACCGGCCCGTAACAAAAATCCCACAATATAAACACTCCATCTCATCTAGGCCATCAATTCCCCAACTTCCCTTGTGCATTGAAACTTGAAAGGTCCTTGGGTCACATCAACATCGCCCCGGGTCCTATTCAATTGACCAGTTTTTTAGGCGGGTTTGGGTCATATTCAAGTCTATAGTCACATGACACAACATGGTCAGCATCCACTCATATTATTATCGGATCGTGTCAGGCCAAGTTCGATACGAGTCAGTTTTATCATGTCTACTTAAAACAATACCAGAAATAAACTAACAAATTAACAATACCAAAGATAAAGTAACAAAACCAAAATCTAGGAAATCACTAATTCTTCACAGTAATAACAGTTCAATAGCTAAAATTGATCAAACCAGGGAGCAAGATTAAAACCTGATCAACCATCCTATGCTTAAGAATGGTAGTTTTAGCCAAAATTTTGACTGCAACACTTTCTCCAGTTTCTGTATTGATCGCAAACTTAACCTTAGCAAAGTTCCCTTCTCCAACCGTCCTTCCCAATTCATACTTCCCTACTCTCCTCGTCGTCGCCATTTTCTGACTCCTCTCTCTCACCTCACCACCATCGAAAACTACGAACAATTCGACCCAAATTTGCGAATTTCCAGGTGATCGGAACCCTAATTTTTCACAATTGAAAAAGAAATTAGGTGAATTATAGGATTAATTGGAATAAATTACTCAACAAATTAGCAATTTGTTGATGAACAAAGGAGAATTACTATTGGAAATTCGCCGGAAAAGGAAAAGAATGAAGATTGAGGAGAGAAAATTATTAACAGTGAGAAATTGAGAGTCGGAGTTTTTGCAAATGGAGTTATGAGCTCCGGCCAAGTAGCTGATGGTCTATCAGAGGAGACAACTGGGTAATTAGCAATGCATCCTCCATTTTAATTCTTCTCTCTGCAATACTAATCGACTAACCCAATATAACACTGAACGAGTAACCCTATAACACTAGATTAGGCCCCGTGTTATACACGGTAACTTTCAATATTTATTATTAGATTAACACTATATTTGATTATAAGAATTATCTAATTGCATGCAAAATAAGATGAAAAAATCGTAATTACAAAAATAAAAATAAAATAATATCATACTACAGAAAATCGTGGGAGTATTACATGCACGACTAATATTAATAATTGCAGATTACGTCACAAAGTTATAAGTAGGAAAATATTATTACATAGTATTAGATAAAAGAATAAAATTTTTGTTGAATGTGTACAAATGGAATACCATTACCAAATAGTAAAGAAAATATAATTGCATTTTAATATTATCAAAGAAGCTTTGGCAAAAAAAAAATAATATATATATATATATATATATATATATATATATATATATATATATATATATATATATATATATATATATATATATATATATATATTTCTTGACGAGAAATTTTTTAAAAATAAAGGAGATGACATATGTCATTCTTGATTTCACCTTTAATATAATATATAGTTACAAATTTCTGTGTTAAAGTCAATTTGATACAATATAATAAAAAGATGTTTTTATTATTTTATTAATAAATTAAATTCATTTTAGTGTAATAGATCGAAAATATATATATATATATATATATATATATATATATATATATATATATATATATATATTTTAAGCAGATAATATTAATATTAATAATAATCTTTAATTGCTATAATAATATATAGATAAATTAAATATATATATAACTTTATTGTAATAAATAAGTTGTCAATTAAAAAGATATAAAAAGAAAAAAAAAGTTAGAATAATATTTATTTTTGGAAAAAGGTTTTTGGAGGAAAAAAATGACACTAGGAAGTGACATGTGTCAATCCCCGGTGTCTGTTTTTGTATTATATTATTGATTGACGAAGTAACTCCTTAACACTGACCAAGTAACTCCTATTATACTATTATACTAACGAGATATTCCCTATAATGATTGACCACAAGGTGTGGTCAGACACTTATAAGAATTTGTGATGTATGAGTGTACGATTGTAAAAGTACTCTGTATTATTTTAAGGCATAAAAAGTGTTACGAGTGTAAAGGAAAATAATGTTGATGGAATTAATCAATTGATAATGAGTTTTGGTTACCATTTTCAAAAGCCTATTAACTAAACTTGTTGTCAATTTTGGCTTCCACGTATATTGATAAGTGTATTCGTAACTTATACTTTGATTTTAAAAAACTTGTATTATTTTCTCAAAAAAAAAAAACAAAAAAAAAAAACCCTGTATTAATGTTAAAGTTTTGCTTAACTAACTCAAGCTTACACTTGGTCATTATAAGGGGTTAAACATTATGGAGTAGCATATCATAATTTTATGATTGAATCTTCTTGTAATTTAATTTGTTTTCAAAGAGAATATAATTTATAATATAACTTGGTGGTAAATCATATTCTGTATAATATTAGAATTGGTGGTTATAATGTTTGAATCTTGTATATGGACATTCTTTTTAATATAAGTTAATGACATGAAATGAGAAACAACTGGGAGGGAGTACTAACATGGCACATAGATTTTTTGTAGATTAATATATACACCATAGAATGGATAGATAAGAATATGGATCAAACTTTTCATAATTCTTTTGTATTATTCTTTATAACTTTGTCGTCGGTTTATTTAACAGGTATGATTATTATTTTTGTTAAGTACACTGCACGTAAGGATTAGAGTTTGCAAAAGTCCATTTACAATTCGTATGCATCAAAATGAAAGGTAATCTTTTCTGCTACGTATTTTGTATCATCCATTAAAGTATTAAACATACTAGCTTAGTTTGCATTATTTATATTATCAACTGTTTGGGTCCAATTTAGTCCAATTGGGCCTGGTCACTGAATGATCCAATTAAAAGCCCAAGGTTAAGGTTCAACTCTCCAAATGTGCTAAAGTCAAAAATCAACATCCTCAAAGCCATGTCAAGGTCAGTCAACGGCCCAATCAGCTTGGCCCAGCCCAACTGACTTCCGGGCCCAATCCGCCTCCTTCATTAGCCAAGGTATAAAAGCCAACAATTTGGTCAATTCTTGGTAAGACAAAAAAAGCCTCAAGCAACTAAACTCTTGCACAGCTTTCTCTCTCTAATATACTGACTTAAGCATCGGAGGGGCCTTCCTCGGCGTCCCCCCCGAGGCTAGTTTACGTGTATTTGTTGTGCAGGAAACCCTCGGCTCCTGCGTCGTTCGGACCGAGACCAAGTTCCCTCAAGATAAAAGGATCTTCCGAGATTCGATTGTTTTCATCCGAAACAATTTGGCGCCGTCTGTGGGGAACGCTACTAAATTTCGCGTCAGTCATCAAACACTCCGGCAGTCGCCATGACTAAGAGTGGAAAGAGTTCCAAGAAGGCTAAGAAGGGAGGAGGCCGGATTACGGTGAGGGAACGCCAGCCGGTTTATCCCTCCCCGGAGCAAGCCTCTTCCGAATCGGAGGCCCCCATTTCTCCGGAAAGGGAAGCCTCAAGAGGTCCTAGCCTCCAGGAGGAGAACACCTCGCACCACACTCGGCAGCCGGGGCCATCCCCGAGACCGAGTGGCTCAGGTGCGAGGAACTCCCCGCCACGCCATAGCGTGCAATCCAGGTCACATCCGCGGGAGACTCCTCCCTCCGGACCCTCCACCGAGGAAGTGGCCAGAGCAGTGGCCATCTGCATGGAGTTCCTTAAAGCTCAAGGGGCTCCAATCCAGATGCCTGATGATCACCAGCCGAGAAACCTGAAAAGGAGGATCGGTCAGGATGATGGTGGACAAGTTCCACCACATAGAGAGCTCGGCCAGAGGTGGCGAGGGGACACCCGAAACTCCAGTAAGGAGAGGAGGAGGAACCCTCAACCCTCTGACCACTCCGAAGCTCAGAATTCCATGGGGCCCTCCAAGGACCCGGAATTCGCCCGCCAAAGCGTTCACGAACGCTTGGGTTCGAGGGAGGTGAGTGTGCATAGCCGCCTCACCTTCCCAGAGGATACCGGACCCCACCCAACCTTGTCTCAGCCGGGGACGAAAACCACTTCCACCTCTGAGAGAGGAGGGAGCGAGGTCCCTGAGGCCGGGTACAAGGGGAAGGCGGTCATGGTTCCATCGAACTCGCCCTTCCAGAAGTGGATTCTGGAAGAGCATGTGCCAACGGTCAAAATCCCGGCACATATTACTTACGATGGTACCTCAGATCCTAAGGATCACATTGCCTCTTACGAGGGGCACATGTATCTGAACCCGAGGTCTGAGGCTACCTGGTGTAAATACTTTCCTACGACCCTCAAAGGTGTTGCCCAATCCTGGATCACCAAAGGGCTCAAGGAAGGCTCCATAACCGGTTGGAACGACCTCTCCAACAAGTTCAAGAGCAAATTCTCTACGGCCAACCGCCGAGAGAAGACCACTGCAGAGCTAATGAGTCTGCAGCAGGCGGAGGACGAGAGCCTCCGCGACTATCTGACTCGCTTCAGCAACGAGTCATCCGGAATCACAAGCCTGGATCAAGGCCTGGCCGTGTTCGCGCTACGGAACGGCCTCCAAGCTGGAAAGTTCCTGGACTTCATGGTCATGCATCCCCCGCAGACCCTGGAGGAAGCCTTGGAAGCATCGGATAGGTTCATCCGAGCCGAGGAGTGGAACAGATCCAGGTCTCAGTCTCGTCCGAGAATTGACAAGCCGAAAGGGCAGCAGCCCGAAGTCTCGGCGCAGAGGAAAGGGAAGGCTAAGGCCTCAGAACCGTCCTCTGCTGCCGAGCCGAAGAAGGAAAGACACTTTCCCTACACGGGAAGGTACGATTCATACACTCCACTCTCCCTTCCCCGTGCTAAGATTTTCAGCACGACGAAGGACGAGGGGAGATTCAAAAAACCTCGTCCGTTGCCTCCCTGGCATCAGACGAGGGGAAAGGACCAGTGGTGCGAGTTCCATGACTCACCCGGACATCGCACCGAGGACTGCGTCCAGCTGAAGGACCAGATTGAGGATCTGGTCCGCAAGGGGTACCTGAGCCAATACCTCGCGGACAGGCGCGAGGAGAAAAAAGCTGAAAAAGATTCTCGGCAGGACCTCAACTTCGCTCGGAAGAAGGATAAGGGACCTCAGGGCAAGGAGTCCCTCGACATCCTAGTTATTTCCGGGGGAATCTCGCGAGGCACAGCCAAACGCCAACTGAGGGGTCTAACCCATCAGATTCATCTGGCTGAGCTTCGGCAGTCCCAGTCACCGGCGCCGAACATCCTGTTCACAGCCGAAGACTGTGAGGGGGTGGTATACCCCCACGATGACCCACTAGTAATCATTCTGGGCATCGCCAACCGCAACGTCTGGCGGACCCTCGTCGACGGCGGTAGCGGGGCGAACATCCTCTTCCGAGGAGCGTTCGACCAGCTGAGGATGGGAGCCGAGCACCTGGCCCCCGCACCCTACCCGGTGTCTGGATTCAACGGCTCTTCCTCGTATCCTGACGGGAAGATTACACTTCCTGTCACCATCGGCGAAGGCCGAGCAGCTAGGAATATCATGGCCGAATTTTTGGTCGTAGATGCTCCATCTGCATACAACGTGATCATGGGGAGACCCCTCATTCACGGCATTCAAGGAGTCGTCTCCACGTATCATCAAATCATGATATACGTTTCAGACGAGGGACGCTCCGAGAAAATAAAGGGCAGTCAAAAAGAAGCCCGCCGATGCAATCACCTCAAGCCATCCACGTCTCGCCGAGGCGACCGTGGCGATGGGGAGGAAAAGCACCGGGACCGAAACGCCAAAAAGCCGAGAGGCTCAGACGTTTCGGCTAATGAAGCCCCAGACAACGAGAAATCTGATGGGGGCCAAAAGGCTGACTCCGCCTCAGAGCCGAACGACTCTGATGGCCAGCCGCGGTCAGGAAAGTCTGCTAATATTGATAG